CGGGGCAGCTCCGCGGCGGCGCTGCCCGCGAGGAGCCCCCGAAGTGCCGCGGGGCACGGGCTGCATCCCCGCTGCCCCGCTGGCCCTTCCTGCGGGAGCCAGGGCGTTTGGAAACGGTTCCTGCCGGAGCCAGGGCGTTTGGAAACTAGGGCGTGCGCGGCGAACCCGTACCCCTTCCCGTGCCTCCCTGCCATGCTTCGCTCCCGCGCCTCTCTCCCGAGCCTCCCTCCAGTGCCTCCTTCTGCACTCAGCCGAGTGGACCCACGGAAGCTGCAGTTGCCTCTACGGGGGCTCCGTGCAACTGTGACTGGGTAAAGCCCCTCACTCAGGTGACTGTTACTAGTGGTAAATGATGTTGTGGTGGCTGAGCCTCCAAGCGCAAACTTTGGTTTGTTAACTCCATAAAATGCTCTGAGGGCTTCCTGCTGTTGCTCTAGCTTGCTGTGCTCCGGGATAGGCAAGTTCTGCTGACACGGGGTGCAGAGCAGCCTCCACGTTTGATGCTGCCTGTTTCTGACAGAGCTGAGCTGGCCTCACCTGCTCCCCTCTGGCCTCAGCGGTGGAGAGGAGGCTGTTCGGGACTCACCTGGATCCCACTTTTCAGTATGTGTCGCTTTCCCTGTGAGGTCTCTACAGCAGCAAGTCTACAACAGGCAGGGCTTATGAAGTACCCCTTGTAGCTGTGAGGCTTTTTCTTCCTTTTCCCAGCTGATTTCTAATTTTTCTTTTTTTTTGGTGCCCATATTGGCCAAGAAACGCAATTTCTCTTCCTCCCTAAACTAGACTATACTTACTGTCTTCGAACTTGCCCTCCTGTAGCATTACTATGTACTCTGTTTCAGGGTCCAACAGTTATCAGACACTTCTCTGGCTCTGAAAACTTACCTCCAACTGGAAAAGATGAATTACCTACCTGCATGGTCAATGCTGTATCAAAGCAAGGCTTTGCTATATATATTGATGAACCAGAAGAGAAAGAAAACTACAACTGCCCAGTGGTGGAAGAGCTGGAATCTAGCCTGTGTGAACTGGACACTAGTGCAATGACATCCAATATTCACCTACTGTTGGATCTGAGTACAGGTAGCTACTCTTAGCTACTAACTGTGTGTAGAATAGAGCCATGTGAGATAGCTATGAATTTGTGATGCTGGTGGCTAGTTTAATATCTAAACATGTTGCTGACTCCTCTAACCTGTCAGGGTCTCCTATGCTGGTGGACACATCCTTCCAGACCCAACGCGAGGATCAGATGGGAGATGCAATAACTGTAATGACTGTGGGGGAGTATGCAGAAGACATCCATCGGTACCTCCGAGAAGCTGAAGTGAGTGGCTTGTTACAGCCTTATAATAAATACTAAGGTATCTGTGGGCTCTGTGATGGGCTGCAAGGCTGTGCTGCAGCCCCAAGGTGACTTTAGACTGCCACTGAGCTGCAGAGGTAGAGAAGACAGGTAGTAAAAGCCACCCTGAGAGTTGCCTGTGAACCTGGCTTCAAACTGTGATCAGTCTTTCAGATGTTGCTCTGCAGCCCATAAATCCTTCATTATTAGAGTGTCTTTTGACTGTTTAGGAGGAAAAAGCAGATGGCACTCCAACATGAAGCTGCTTGCAAAGGCCCGAAGGCAGTTGAATGTGGCCTCAATGACAGCCCTTGCATTATAGGAGAGCTTTACCTTGCTGCTCTAAYGTAAACTAAGAGAAAGAACAGTCTTCCGACAGGGAAGGAGAGACCTGATTTGTTTAAAGTAATTTTCAGGTCTCTYTTTTGGAATGACTTGTGTGCTTGATAGCAAAGGTTGGACTTCACTGTCCAGGAGATCTTTCACTGCTACTAACGCATTACTCCTGTCTCTTTTCAGTGTTCGCTGTAGAAATAGCTCCTCTCATAAGCATTTTAATTAACAGTTAATGCAACTATTAACCAACTACAACTAGGCAATTGTACTAATTATCAATTGTTGTATTAGTAGGTCAAAAGTAGACCAAAAACCTTAATAAACTCTGCCATCAATCTTCAGATGAGTGTCCTAATTCTTCCTCTGTCTCTCTGAGCAGGTCAAATACAGGCCCAAGCCCCACTATATGAGGAAGCAGCCAGATATCACAACAGGAATGCGTGCTATCTTGGTAGATTGGCTTGTGGAAGTGGGGGAAGAGTACAAACTCCGGACAGAGACCTTGTACTTGGCCGTGAACTTCCTGGACAGGTTTCTTTCCTGCATGTCTGTCCTCAGAGGGAAGCTGCAGCTTGTAGGAACAGCAGCAATTCTTCTGGCTGCGTAAGTGTTTGTATCGCCTCCTGAAAACTCAGCAGGTCATAACTTATTTTTAGTTTAATTTGAAGAACTGAAGCCCGCAGTAACAGGTAGATTGTCATGATTCTTAAGAACAGCAATTTGAGCAGCTCTGACACTAACAAAATTAGATATCTAATGCTCCCACCAATCAGGAAAACTTGGTAACCATAAAGCCAGAAGCAAGAAATGTGAGAAGCAATACTGTACATGGCAGGCTCCTGGCTATAAGGCAATAGTACATTCAAAGTGGCAATCTGTATATAGCCTCTTTAAAAGAGGATATCAAGTGGAGCTTGGAAGTGCTTCCACTTGGGACTCTTTGGATTTAAGAGCTTGCTATTAGTCAGGAGACTCTAATAATAATGTAAATATTTCTATCTAGACTAGATGCTTACAGTCCCTGTAATAACTTTGCTTTCCAAATCTAATCCTAGTGCAAGAGCTGAAATATAGTTGTCTTAGAGTCATGCCACATTTCCATTCCAATATAGATGCAGTGGAAATTTTATCACTATTTCAAGCTGACCAGTGTGGCTTCTGTACTTTTTCTTTTTAGGAAATATGAGGAGATWTACCCACCAGAAGTAGATGAATTTGTGTACATAACAGATGATACATACACAAAGAGGCAGCTGCTGAAAATGGAACACCTGCTTCTCAAAGTGCTGGCTTTTGATTTAACGGTGCCAACCATCAATCAGTTCCTCCTCCAATACATTCAGAGGCATGGAGTCTGCATCAGGACAGAGAATTTTGCAAGGGTATGAATTATCTTCCTATAAGCCTTAGGTGGGTGGGAATGAAGTGATCAAACTTACAGAAATGATTCAGATGCTCCATCAGGTGACTATACTCCTTTCTCATATCGTAACTCTTTTGGGTCTTTTCTGGATGCTGTCAATGTATAGGTCTTGCATTGAAACTTCTACAGAAGCCTCTTATGGAAACACGAGCTTTGCTGTGTTATCCCTGAACTGACTATGCAACCATGTGGTATAMAATGGCTTTTGCAACACTGCAGAGGCCCCTAAGTCTTTCCTGAAAATGGTAATGTTATATATAGTGTAGCAATACCCATGCATATAACTGCCTGGGGATCTCTACATGGAAACATGGTAACCATAGCTTACAGCAAAACATCTGACCTGCTGCTTAGCTGCAGAAGTCAAAGGATTATATGATGACTCTACTCCAACAGAGGCCAGACTTTATTCTTTTAGAGCTGCCCATAGGGCTCAGATCTCAGTGAAGTCTGCCTACATCAACTATCTTCAGAGATGAAAAGCACATCTTTGTTCTCCTTACAGAATTTATAAGATTCAGGTTTCCATTTCCTAAACTGTCTCAGAGCTGGTGATAGGATCAGAGCTGCAGATTACAGTACAGATTATTGTAAGATTTGACAGAAGTGTGGTCTTATGTGGTGTATGTTTGGGGCAGGTGAGTAGTTTGGCTTTGGGTTTTGTTTTTTTTTCTTCTTCTTACTGAAACAGACTGAAAGTGCTTCTGTGATCAGATCGACAAGAATGGAATTCTACTTGAAATTCATGACTTGTGCCCACCAAACATGTAACAGCTGATGAAACTGAGACCATCAACCACCAGTTTAAATGCACATATATTGACCTGTCTTGTTTGAAAAACATCTTTTTTATTATTATTGTTTCATTCAGTATCTTGCAGAACTGAGTCTCCTTGAAGCTGATCCATTTCTGAAGTACCTTCCTTCCCAGACTGCTGCAGCAGCCTACTGTCTAGCAAACTATACAGTGAACAAGCGTTTCTGGGTAAGAACAATGCATGCTAATGAAAGTCAAACATTTCATATTGTCATTAGAACTAGGCTGAGAAGTAGAAAGAATAGTTTAGAAGTATGTATTGCAAAGCCCCCAATTGTAGGATGAGTGGTTGTTTCAGAATTTATGGGACAATTKGAATGAGTGTTTAAATTGATCTGAAATAAAGAACCTTGCTATTCTGCTTGCTTAAGATTGTACCTAAGACGTTGTCTATCCCTGATTCCTGAAAACTCGCCCCTGAAATGGAATTGGGAGCTTTCTGCAGGTAAGGAGGAGATCTTGAATGTGTTTGAGTGACTTTGATGGTCATGTCATCTCTATGCTGGAGGAATAATTTTAGCAGGGAACAGGAACCAGAAGCAAGGTGATATATGCAACGAACTCTCCTTTGTTTAGAGGGAGGAGTGGAAGCTTTTTGTCAGACTTCTCAGCACCAAAGACCTTAAGTGACGCTGACAGCAGATACTTTTGAATCTGTTCAAGCTCTAAATGAGGAATCTGAAGTGAGACAAGATGTAGTCAAGATCCGTCCTGTTTCTGTAGGAAATGTATCTCCTAGATGGAATGTTGCCTGAAAGAAATAACTCTGGCCTTTCTCCTCTGACCAGCCAGAATCACTTGCTGCATTTACTGGGTATTCACTAAGTGAGATAGTGCCTTGCCTGACTGACCTACATAAAGCGTGCCTTGATGCTCCCCATTGCCAACTGCAAGCAATTAAGGAAAAGTACAAGCTCTCCAAGTAAGTAACCAGGATGCTAACGTCCTGTAACTTGGAGGCCATGGGCACAGTTGGGTCTCAGTAGCTTGCACACTGGTTCTGTAACTGCCAAACTTCTCATAGCAGTCAGCTTCAGGAACAGAAGTTAATGTTAAAGAGCTACCTCTCAGCCTCTTGAGAGGAGAAACTTTCCTGCCAGAAGAGTAGATCCTGCTATGTCTGTAGGTGTGCAAGTGTACTGGATTGTAGTCCCTTTGAAATGTTGAAGGAYGAGACTTCTCTCTTCCACATTGCGCAAAAATGTAGACAGGATATTTGTATTTGCCAGCCAAATGGTATTCTTGGTGACTTTGTTTCTATTTCAGGTACCTGCAAGTGTCTCTCTTAGAGCCCCCAGCAGTTCTTCCTCTTCAATGAAAATGGTGGATCCTGGACTTGAACTATTCCCTCCCAATCARCATAGCTGGTCTAACATTTCATAGAGCACTGCAGGTCATGTGTCTAACCATGGTGTTAAGAATGTTTTTTTAGATAGCTTTTTTTTTTTCTCTTTTAATTAGATGCCTTTTTAAAAGAATATTAGATTATAAGTCTTAATAGTAACTGACAGCACTTTTAATAAATGTCTTATTACACTGTTCCTATGTGAATCTTCTGACTCTAGTTAATATTCACAGTAACAGATGAAAAGTGTTTTTATGAGATTACTGAGCAGAGCTCTTAGGTTAGTTTGGAAAGAATTAAGTGTCAGGTTGCATTGGTTTGAACCTCACTCTCATCCAAGGACATGGGTGGCCGACTGTGGACTTATCAGTTTCTTGCTCTTCCATGAGGCAAGATCATGCAGCAATCAAAGGATGTTTTCTTCTGGAACTCATTTGCCATGTCACAGCAAAAGCATCACAATAGTGATCTCTGAACACTGATGTGGTCTGTAGAAACCATCTGTTGAGGTAGAAGTTGAACTCACTTTTATAAATAGAGGAAATCCTTTTGCAGAGGGAAGTGGAATGAAAAAGAAGATTTAAGATGTTCCTAAGGCTCTTCCAGCCAGAAATACTGAAGGATGGACTGGGGGAGAGTAATGATAAAAACTGCAATAAAGCATCTGAGGACTGTCAAGCCATGAAAGGGTGGACTTAAGCTGGATGGCTATTGCTGTATCATACCTATTGTATTTAATATTCCTATGGCATAGCTATCTGAGATGACACTCCATGCCCCTACAGCACTTTTGAATGTGGATATTCCTCTGCAGTTTCAAGAGAAGCCTTGCTCTTGGGAGAAAGGAAGGAAAAGCCTGTCTGGGATGTTCTTGCTGCAGCAGGATAAGCCCTGGATTTTGTGTACTCTTGAAGAGGGAGAGTAATCTGTACAGGTATTAGATTTCCAAACAAAAATATACATAAAACATCACATTAACATGCAAGTCAACAGAAGCACTGTTTTGCAGTTAGATTAAGTAGCAGATGAAGTCTCTTGTTTTAATTAGAAAGTTGATTATACAAGTGTCATGAAGCTCCAGGTGTTTAACTTTCCGTGATGTGCATAAGACTTTCCTTCCTTCCCTGCTTTCCCCCTTCCAGGCTAGCAGTTATTTCTAGCAAGGCTTCCCCTTCTCTTCTCTCAGAACAGAGGAAGATAACTATAAAAATGATTCACTTGCCTCAATGTAAATATCCTTTAACAGAAGAGTGCTCACTTTCAACCAGCCTCTGCAACTCTTGGTCTCTTGCTTGAAAAACAACACAAACTTTCTAGTCAAAATGATGTGTTTACTTCTTGTTTACTGATACTATCAGCTGTGAAAAAGTATCCAATGTTTGTCACTGGCAAATATTTTATGGTAGAGGTTTAATATCTTCAAATGTACTGGTGCACTGAATTTCATGGCTTGTGGATGGCCGTCTTAAAGGTGCCAACCGTGCTTACCCAAGCAGACAGCTTTAGAGTATGTTGCTCAATTCTGAGGCTAAGCCCAGCAGCATCTAGTTGCAATGGTAGATTTTTTGATTACTTGTTTTATAAAGAAACTGGACTAAATTGAACAGACTCGTAAGTGTCTGCCTCCCTGTGGTGTTTCAGGTTAAATATAGGGAGTCCTGAAGCAGCAGATTGAACTTAACTGAGTCTCAAACCTGTCTGAGTTTCTTTTAAAAACTATAATCTCTGAAATAAGACAAGTAGAACCCAAAGCAATGATCTGTGGGAAGGTAGTGTTGTGATAACAAGTCTTTCTCCCACCCTACCCCCCAGAGTGCATTTAGGATGTCTGAATAGTAACTGGGGAGAATGTTTTAACTATAGGTAACACAGCAAAGCTGCTAATTCATGGCTGAAGAGTGTCTGCCCTGCTGGAAAATCTGACAAAGTGCTTGACTAGTCTGGATGTGTGTATCTACGTGTTGTTGATTTTATAAATGACTAGAATTAGCTCTGATGACCAAGGTTGACGCTTGTTTTGCCAGTGACCTTGAGGCAGATTGTGGGACTCTCTAAGGCTGAGAAACAAGCTGCAGCATCAGTGTTTGCTTCCTGGAATGAAGCTTTTTAGTTTGCAGTTTTCTTCAGCACCTGCTGTCCTAGAACAGGATCATCTGGTTATATATGAGCTGTGCAATCTGTACTAGGCAGACATAAACTGGAGGAGGTACAGATCCATCTCCTACCTCTCTCAGATGTCCTAGTGCCCTGTAGAGTGGAGTCATTCTTAGAAACTTTGTTATGTACTCTGCTGATTATGGGAAATGCACATATTTTCCCACTGCATTAGACAAAACAGCCTCACTGTTTCATTGATTTCTTTTGTTTTTAGTCCTTGTCTGTATTTTGTAGCTCCTTTCCCATATTCATACTAGCACATAATTTGCTTGCTCAGACTATCTACTTAATATCAAAAATATGGAATTTGTATGTTGAGATACCTTTAATGAGCATCCTTAGAAATACATTACGTCAACTTCCTGAGGCTTCTGCAGGGATAGAAAGAAATGTTAACTTGGAAAGCCTTTGCAGTGAGTTTCTGATACTAGCCATGCCGTGTTTGGGATTTTTCTGAATGTAACTGAGAGCAGTGCAAACACTTAAGAGAGTTAGCACAAGCAAATGTCCAAAACAGTCCACAGAAAGTAGTAGATGCTTCGTGTGTGATTCAGGTAATTCTAAATTCGACGCCTATCCACATCAAATTGTATTTTGTGCAAATTACGTCAAGGCAAGTAAAACCAGGCAGACTTGTCCATAGCCCCGACAAGGATGTCACGCTCGTGGCTTTGCCTCCCAGAGCTCTGTCCTGTGCTTGTGCAGTTAAGCTGGGCTGGTATGAATAATAACAGTRGGCCAAGCAAGGGCTGACTCCTGGCCAAATGCCACTATCTGGCTTGTTTCCATAGTGCTCAGGCTAACTCAGTTCTGAGCACATCTCCTGGAGAGAGATTATTGGAGTGGTACAAAACAAAGTCAGTGTGAGCAAACAGCCAAACTAGAGGGGCAGCTGGGCTGAGTACTTGCTCCTGCCTCTATTAGCAATATGTCCAGAATGTCTAATACAGCAAACTCCTAGCTAAGCCATATGGGAGTCCTCAGCTGAAGTTCGTACTGTTTTAACTTGGCAATGGGGAGCATCGCTGTAGCAAAGCACCAGCAAAACAGGCTTATGATAAGAGAAATGATGTCAAGAAATGATTTTCTCTCTCCATCTGCAGTCAAACTGTTTTTCTGTTTGTTGTTTTGATCCATAACAACTTAAAAAAATGGGGAAAGAGCCTCAGAGATCACAATATTATTCATCAGACATGGGCAGATTATTTGACACTAATGAGTGAGTTGCTTACAGTGAACTACTACAAGCTCTAACCCTTCCTAGGCAGAAACTGGAGTGTCTCTCGTATCTCGTAACTGMTTTTTTTCTTTTTCTACTTATCTCATGGAAATTATTTTTTTCTGTGGATTCATATTTTCCATATTTTTCCAGGACAGGAAATGCCTGTGTTGAGATTGCAGATGAGCAGCAACAGCAGAGATTACCTCAGTATTGTTCTTACTCCTTTTAATGGATGAAAGATGTTGAGGTGGTAGAACCAGGTTCATCCCAAATCCCGCTTGCAGAGCAACAGTATATCAAACTAACACAATGTACTGATATCTTTATTTAATGAAGAAACACATAAAATTCAGCCAGACAAGAATATAACTTCAGCTGCTTTTCAGTGTCAAATCGGGAGCAAAAGGGTAAACTTATGGTAAAAATAATAACAAGCTTGTATTTTCACTTACTGTACTCTGGTCATGAAAAAAAAAACAAGGAGAGAGCACCAGCATCGTAGGTCCATGGCCAGAGGGGAAACTGCTCCTACATATTTCCCCAAAGGAGTCTGGGTCAGAGCTTAGGAAGGTTATTCATTCTGGAGCTGTTTTTTATGAGTTTTTAGGCAAATGAAAAATAGTCAAATCATTGAGAGATTACTGCTCATTTACTTTTCATCAACTGTAACTGAATGTGCAATGTCAGCTGGTTGTCTAGCTTGTATACTAAATGCTTCAGGAATATTTAAGGAAAGTAATGAAACTTTTTCAGAGTGCTTGTCCTGTGCTGTGATTTTGTTTCTTGTTTGTTTKTTTTTTTTTCTGCTGTGTGCTTTTGTCTCTTTTGTTTTCCCTTGCCCATCCACATTCTAGTTGACCCAACAACAGTTTCAAATGTGTTTGCTTGACCTGGCTATACAACCCAGAGCATCTAATGTTGACTCTAGATTTGTTCTGTTTCAGACAGGAAAAAATGTGATGGAAGCTGTTAGTGTCTGGCTTATAATGTGCAATAATATTCCTCACAGTGGAGCGTTATGAAGTGGCTCTGATGGAGGAACATCTTGCTGTACAACAAGTTGGGTGAATGAGATTCTCGTAATAATACAGGGTTGGTATCAGAAAGCAGGGTAATTCATGCCAGATGATGCTTCCTTTGGAGGAGGAAAAAAAAGAGGTAGAAAAGTTAAGGATGATTTTAAGCTATTGTGCTCCTATTTTTCTTTAAAGACTTCAAACTTACACCTTGTTTCAAGGTAATTAGCTAGATGAATAGTGATTACAGAAGAGGATCATAGAATTCTCTTTTTTTTTTTTTTTTGTGGTGCAAGTCTCCTTTTTGGATCCTAGTCACATTTTCCTTTTCTAGGTATTCCCAACTTGAACTGAGTTATACTTTCTCAAGATGCTTGCTAACCCAAATCTATTCTTCATTCTTTGTCTGCAGCTACTCTTACATGTGTTTGCTCTCAGCTACAGCCTCTAAACAGAGAGCGAAATAGGTGGCCTGGTCAAGAGCCAGATGGGAAAAGTGCATTCATAACAGTCATTAAAGAGTACAAATAGTCTAACATTAATGAACATTAAAATTTGTCACTTAAGTATTTTCCATAAGTCAAATGTACCAAGTTTAATTGCCTTCCCCTTGGACAGCTGTGTAGCTGAGCTGTGACTGAGCCTGGATTCCTTACTAAATTTGACTTTATACATATATTCTTAAAAATGTATTTTAAATCATTTGCTGAAACAGTGTCATTTATATTGGGACTATGGTTTGACTGAGGGGCCTGCATGTGTTGATGGTGGGTGGGTAAGTAAATTTTTTGTCCTGGCTGAGAGTGGCACTGACTGAGGTGCTGCTGCCCTTCTGGAATGCAGGAGGGCAAGAGGAGAGCACACTTGCATTGCGGGTACATCGCTGCAGTAGCCACTCAAGCACTCATGAACAATTCCAGTTGTCCCACTATGCTTAGATATCTGCAACGTCCTCCTGAACAAYGTATTCTTTCCTCTTCCTAACCCCCCCACCCTTCATTCAGTTACTGAATAATGCTTTCCAAAGATACGAAGAGAGGATGCGACTCTGCACAAGCTCCTTAGCCAGCAGGACAGCTCCATGCAAGRCTCTTGCCTCAGACACAACAAGTAATAAATCTCTCATTATACAGCACTGATGTACTAGTGCTGAACAGAGCATATCTGTTCCTAAAAGCATCTTCTCAGAATCAYAGAATCACAGAAGGGTTGTGGTTGGAGGGGAACTCTGAAGATCATCTAGTCTAACCCCCCTGCTCCAGYAGSGACACCCAGAGCACGGGGCACAGGGTGGCAGCCAGGCGGGTTTGGAAGATCTCCAGTGAAGGAGACTCCACAGCCTCCCTGGGCAGCTTGTTCCAGGGCTCTGTCACCCTTGCAGGAAAGAAGTTCCTCCTCATGTGGAGATGGAACTGCCTGTGTTTCTATTAGTACCTGTTATCCATTGTCCTATCACTGGCCACCACCAAGAAGAGTTTGGCCCCCTCCTCCCTACATTCTCCCCTCAAACATTTATACATATTGATCGGATCTCCTTTCAGTCTTCTCTTCTCCAGGCTAAACAGGCCCAGCTCACTTAGTCTTTCCTTATACAATAGATGCTCCAGTCTCTTAATCATCTTTGTTGCTCTCCGCTGCAGCCTCTCTAGAAGGTCCACATCCCTCTTGTACTGGGAGAGCCCAGAACTGCACCCAATTCTCCAGATGCAGCTGCACTAAATATCACTCTGAAGAACTCTTTTTAGTTATCTTACATTGCTTTGCACAAACAAAAACAAACAAACAAAAACAAATCAACAACAGAAAAATGAACCTAGCAGAGACAATTGGTTCTAGCTGCATCTTTGCAGCATGTAATCAGCTCAAAGCCAAACTTGCTAACTGTATTTCACAAAGCTCTATTTCCATGAATAGCTTTGTTTCTCAGTGAATGAATACTAGTAGCTCATCTTGAAACATGCAGCTCGGCCACTGTCAGTGCTCCTGCTTTCTCCCACCGCTCTGAGTATAGCTGTGTGGAGTAGATATGTAGCAGCTTCTGCTGTTTACTACAGTTCTCTGAACCAACTCATAGGTTATAGTCTAGGAATTGCTGATCTGTGTAACTTCCATTTCTGTTACAAGCAAATGCTGAGTGGACTAAAATACTTTATTGCCAGTTGAAATTTCCAGGACACAGATGCCTTGAAAAGAGAAATGGAATTTAAAAACAACAACAAAGGAAGTTGCTTCTTTCAGTTACTAACAACAAAAATCATTAATCTTGTATCAGTGGAAGCTTGCCAAGCAAACAGCTTTAAGTCTCCAGTGCTTACCAGTAAGTGCCTGAGACAAAGTGAGCAGCTCCAAGTGCAGGAGTGGCATGACTTCTTCATGTTCAGAGCCCACAAACAGACTGCACCTTTATTAAATCTGGGTTGGATACATTCTTTGATTACTATTGTTTTTATGATCACTTGGTCTGCTAGTGATTCTGCTCTCTAAACTTATTTTACACTCTGTATGAAAAAAATGTACCGTATTTCAGCTGTATAATGAATGTATAATTTGAGCACAGCAGTGTGTTAGGATCATTGTGGGCAATGATTAACAAGACGGGCTGTTGCAATGCAAGGGTTTATGTTAAATTTACTGCCTTCCACTCAGTTTAGGGGAGAGAGTACAGAGCCTTTCAAGATTTCATCTCTGTAGATGTGTAGATTTACTGTTTTAAGGCCAAATAAGATTTCTACACTGTCTAATGTCTGTTATAGCTGCTGAACCCCGACTGTATCGTCTACAAAAACACCCAGTTCTCATTTGCTTTTCTTGTCTGGTTGTCCATTGCTAAACCACCCCAGAAACTGCCTTTGTTTCTAGCTTATATAAATTCGCCTTGAAATTCTGTTGGTTTTGAAATTTAAAGTCTTTTGGTTTTGTCTAATCAGGTTAATTAGCTCTTCAATAACTATTTGCTTTCTGTGCAAGAATTTAACCCCCACCTTTAAGTTATTCCCTGTTTTACAGGCAGAGCTCTTGGTGTTTTTCACAGTAACAAATTACTTTCCCTTATTACATGTTTATCATGTCTAGTGTGGTTGCTGAACATCTTCTTAGAGCTTGGGAATCAGAGGATAGGACACAGGTCTAGCAATATTCTCATGAGTGCTACATATGTGAGCCAAATAACTAAAACCTACAGTTGCTGAGGGACATAACTTTTTAATGTTTATGAATCAATAAGTGCAGACAGAGTTCTTGGAGCAGCAAAAGCATTGCTGAAGACAGGTTTCTTCCTGAAGGTGGCTTGTAATGAAAGCTGATTCACCAATCTTTTTCAGTATGTATAAACTAAAGGTAGTCTGTCTGCCTCCTGACAAGTTACCAAACCGACCATTTAGGTAGAATTTGGCCACATCATCTTCTACACTAAGAAGCACCACTAATATACACTAATTACAATCATTATACCACTATTAAATAACTGCCATCTGTTTTGATCTGAAGTTAATGCTGCTAAAGAATTTAAAGCTTTTCAAATTTCAAAGCTGACATTGTAAGTTTGTGTTCATATGTTGGTTTTAGTATCACATA